TTTTTTATTTCCATAAGATACACTTAAAAAGCGTATGGTTAATTTAAAATATTTCCACTTATTAGTGAAGTATTTTTTACATTCGGAACTCTAAAATATGTATGTTTTTAAGAAAATATTCTAAATCTTCTTATCCTAAAATGAATTATTCTAAATCCTTTGCATAACTATACTGAATATTTCATAACTGAAAATATGAGTAAAATTTTGTACTTTTACGTAGTAACATTTCATTTTTATTTTACAGAGTGCAACAGAGAAAATGAAGAATTTAAAAATTGTGGAACTGCATGTCCTATAACATGTAAGAATTACGATAACCCACCAAAATTTTGCACCTATCAATGCGTCAGAGGATGTTTTTGTAAAAAAGGCTATTATAGAGCATCAGATGGATCTTGTGTTTCGAAAGAAGATTGCTTTTAAACTTAAGTTATATTAAATAAGTTTCAGAAATAAAGACATGATTTAAAGCTGTATTCTATGATTTGTAATCTTTTTATCAAAATCACTCAAATGTTTGAAAAATATAGTGTTTTACTATTATCGCAGTTGTTTCTAAGCAAATTGGCTATAGGTAACTTAGTTTAAATTCAGGCTTGAGAAAAGATGACGCTCGCTTTCAAGCCGCCTTCTCGTTGAACCTTTCATTGATTTAAACAATACTTCTATCATTTGGTCAAATAATACTTTCTACTAAAGAACGAAAGTGCTGAAAAGTCTAGTGTTTGTCAAACTCATTGCATTATGAACAAAAAAGAATTAGATAATTAACACAATTCCAGAAATTATACATTTTATTGCAATTTAGACTGATACTTCAGAAAAGTTAATAATAATAAAAAGATTATTTTATTTACTTCTGAAAGATTTATAATTCATTAGAATAGGTTGTTATTACAGAAAGTAACTTTGAAGAATAATTTTCAAACACGTAATTTCATTTCCATACAAAATTATATCATGATAAGAATTCAAGTAAACTGCTAAACATATTGGCTACTAATAAAATATTTTTAAAAATTATGTAGCTTAGGATTCATCGTGAGATAGAATGTTTAAAAATACTGTTTTCCATTGTATGTCGAGACGAATCCTTTTTGAAAACTCATTGGCCTTACCTTAATTTACACAATATGTTTCTATCATCTCTTCTGCTGTTGGAAGAAAGTAGGTAACTTAAATTATGCAACTTATACAGCATATGACAACTTTCAAAAAGGATTCATCTCGAAATACCTGGAGAGAGAGAGGTTGCTTATTAGCACAAATGTACTGTACAAGTCACAGCTGCTTGTATTTACAACTCATTGCTACTTGTAGAGTGCCTGTGTGTAATAACATTGAGATTTTACTAAGATTAAATGATTCCCTTCAAAACATAATAAGATATTTTAACTTCCTTACCCAGTATTCACCAACACGAATTATTTCGAGAGTTAATATACTTGAGTTATATAACAACCCAGGTAGTATGAAGAGTTATTCAGTTTCGTATTCTCTAATCTAGAGTTTCTGAATTCGAAGTTTGTTTACTCGTTATATGTCTGAGGTCGATAGTTGTTGATTTGTTACTATCTAACAGACACAGTGATTGGTTTCAATAATGGATAAAATGGATGTAGTGGATAAAATGGCGCAAAAAGTCGAAAGTGTCTGAAAGCATTTTACCACATTTGAAAAAGAATGAAAAAGAATTTTTATCGGAATTGATTCAAAAATATAGCAGCATTATAGAAATTAAAAAAACAAATTCTATCTCAGTTAAAGTTTTGAATATTTTAAAAATTTATAGTTTTATTACAGTTTGTAATTATTTATTTTTATTAATAACTAACAGATATGTTCAGCATTTCCTGGTCAGAAAGTAAAAAGGATAAACGTTAAAATGAAAACTATATTACAAGTTTTGTTATTTTAGTCTACTCGTTATGTTTATCAAGGTGGAGGAGATCAAATCAGAAAATAATTCATGTCTATGTCTATATTTTCCTTAGGTTTCTAGAGAGTAAATATGAAAAATTTTATGCAGATCGACCAAAAGCTTAGAACAAAACGACAAAACATTCTATCATAGATATTCACCGATAGACAAAAAGTCTCAAAACGTGTATATTTGCAAAAAAATGGGACGATCAAATTTGACACGATTCCAATACTT